GACCGGGCGGTCGATGGAGGCGCTCAAGGTCGGCGGCGCCCAGACGAAGGCGAAGCAGGTGCTCGCCCGCCGCGTCGCGCGGTACCTGCGCCTGGCGACGTGCAACGCCGAGGGATTGCGCATCGCGCCGGACGACGCCCGGGAGATCGTCGCCGAGGCCATGGAGCGCAGCGAGTCCGAGGAGGGGAGGGCCAAGGCCCTGAGCCTGAGCAAGGAGTACCACCGCGACGAGCTCATCTACGAGGAGGAGATGCGGGGCAAGGACTTCGTGCGGTCCGCGGACGCGCTCGACGAGTTGCCGGCGGCGGAGACGTTCACGCACCACATGCGCACGATCAAGCCCATCACGCTCATCCGGCTGCTCGTCGTCGCGATCCGGGGCATGGACCGCCAGGTCGAGACGCTCCTCGAGGTGCTCCACCAGGTGGCCCTCGAGATCGACGCGATGGGCGACGGCACGCCCGACGCGTCCGACGGCGAAGAGGTCGCGGCCGAGCCCGACGACGAGCGCACCGTGCGCACGAAGAAGCGCTTCCTGCGGCGCCAGGAGCAGGAGATCCTGGACAAGCGCGAGAAGGACGGCTACCAGACGCTCGACGCGGAAACGTCGAAGGCGTTCGACTCGAGCGGGTTCACCGGGCAGCTCCGGCGAAAGACGACGGCGTCGCCCCTCAAGGTCCGCGAGCTCCGGAGGAAGCAGGGCAAAGACGCCGACGTGCCCGACGACGAGCGCGACGAGCCCGCGAAGCCGGAGAGGCGCGCGACGCGGCGCGCGACGAAGCTCAACCGGAAGACCGCGGGGAAAGGCGGCGCGGGCTGGATGCGCGAGCTCGACGCGCTCGACGCGAAGAAGCTCATGGACGCGGCGTCCGTGGGGCAGACGGCCGTCGTCGAGCGCTTCATCCTGCGGAGCGTGCGGGGCGCGCCCGGCGCGCCGCTGTGTGGGAAACAACCAGTGGAATGGCCCTGTCCAGCAAAACTTCAAACCTCTCTCTATCTCGGTCGTTTCGGCTGATTCTTGAATGGATGGGTTTCTCTCGGCGAGTTTTTTTTAGACAGTAGAGAAACGATGTCGAAATCGTGCAAAAACATGCCTATTGAAGTCGTGTTGAATATTTTCGTTCCCCGCCCAGGCGCGCCGCCCGTCGCGGAGCTCTTCGGCACCGTGCACCCGCAGCTCGGCTACACGGCGCTCCACGCGGCCGTCGACTTCGAGCGCGCCGACTGCGCGCGGCTCATGCTCAAGCACGGCGCGGACCCGAACACGACGAAGGCGCGCCACCGCCAGACGCCGCTCCACATCGCGGCCGCGGGCGCGCGCGTCGAGATCGTCAAGATGCTGAGAGCGCACGGCGCGGACAACGCGGTGCTCGACGCCCACTACAAGCGGGCCTTCGAGCTCGTGCCCGAGGAGGCCTGCAAGGACCCGGCGGTGCTGGCCATGCGCGAGTCGCTCAAGGACGGGCCCGACCGCATCGAGAGCTGCCACGGCAAGGGCGTCGCCGCGCGCCAGTTCACCATGGCCTGGGAGTCGCTGGGCCAGACGGACGTCTTCTCCGCCGCGGCGGCGACCCAGTTCTACCGCGTCGACTGGGAGCAGCCCGCGCGGCGCAAGACGAGCCCGTGCTACACGACGACGCTCCGCGCGCACACGCTGCCGGACCGCTTCCTCATCCCGCCGTCGAAGGCCACGGAGGGCACGAAGCTCCGCCACGTGCGGCGCAAGAACCGCGTCCTCGACTTCAACCAGTGGGACATGAACACGCGCGGCGCGGTCCACAAGACGGAGTACCACGACGAGGAGACGGAGCTGGTCGTCGCGGGCCTCTACCCCGCGACGCGCTACGTCGCGACCGTGCGCGCGTCCAACGCCGCGGGCTTAGGGCCCCTGAGCCCCGCGGTCTACGTCTGGACCCTGCCGGACATCTGCGAGATCCCGAGCGAGCCCTTCCCAGGGCAGGACAAGAGAGCGAAATTCCCAACTTCAAAGGCTCCTTTCTCGGCCGTTTTCCACTCGTTTCGGCTGATTTTTGGACGAGCGATCATCTCTCGGAACGGTCTCGAAGCGTGGATGTTTTTCTCGTGACGCGCGCGCGCGGAACACTCACGTTGAAGCGACGTTGAATCTCTCTTGTCCTGCCCAGGCCCTTCCTCGTGCACACGACGGCGGCGAACGTCGTCGTCGCGTGGCTGCCGCCGCGCTACGACAACGGCAAGGAGGTCGAGTCCTACGAGCTCCAGCGCTACATCGTCGGCGGCACGCGCGCGGACAAGTGGCGGCGGCTGACCAAGGTCCACGGCACGGGCAAGAAGCTCAACGAGGCCATGGCGGTGCTCGCGACGCGGACGCGGCCCGACGGCGAGGCCGACGACGACCCGAACACCTGGGCCTGCGCCAAGAACCACAAGGACCCGGGCTGGACGAACTTCCGGTTCCGCGCCGCGGAGCGGCCCATCTTCAACTTCCCGGGCCTGAGCCGCGGCGACCGCGTCGTCTGCCGCGTCCGCGCGGCGAACGAGGTCGGCTGGAGCGGCTACTCGCGCCTGTCGTGCTGCTTCGTCGCCGAGCCCTCCATCCGCGTGCTCGACATCGACGCGCGGTCCCTCGTCGTCGAGTGGGACACGCACACGCTCGACGCGGAGTGCTGGGAGCTCCAGCGGCAGACGAACCGCATCACGGGCCGGTGCGACCCCTGGGAGTGCGTCGTCGACGACATCCCCCACGTCCGCAACGGCCGGGTCAAGTTCAAGGTCGAGTACGGTTTGGGCCCCGGCTGCTCCTACCGGTTCCGCGTGCGGCCCAAGGACGTCTACGGCTGGCGCGACTGGGACACGCCGCTGATGACGGACGTCGTGCGGCTCCTCGAGGACGTGCCCGACGCGCCCGCGGCGCCCGAGGGCAACACGGAGGCATGCACGGCGACGACCGTCGAGCTCGACTGGGCCCCGGGCTTCGGCAACGGCCAGCCCGTGACGCGCTTCGAGCTCCAGCACATCCCCTGCGTCGACGAGCACGACACCTGGGACGGCGCGACGACGGTCGAGCTCACGGGGCTCCAGACCAACTTCACGCTCAAGAACGTCGAGACGGGCGCCCTCCTCTCCTTCCGCGTCCGCGCGTACAACAAGCACGGCTGGTCCGACTGGTCGCTCGCGTCGCTGCCCGTGTCCACGTCGACGATCCTGCCGCCGGGCGTGCCCTTCCTGAGGGAGACGGGCACGACGTGGATCGACGTCCAGTGGGCCCACGCGCCCAACGGCAACGTCGTCAAGTACGTCGTCCAGTACCAGGTCGCGGGCAACGCGACGTGGGCCACGCACCGCGACGACGAGGTCCGCGACAACCACGCGATCATCCCGGACCTCAAGCCGGGCGGCCGCTACATCTTCCGCGTCCAGGCGCTCACGCTCGACGGCTTCTCCGTCTTCACGGAGTCCTCGGACGAGCTCCGCTGCCGGCGGCGCTTCTAATTGTTCGGGAGGTGCGTTACCACGTCGCGGGCCCCCGCCGCGGCCGCGCCGCGCGCGCGCCGTCGCCGCCGCGGTCGCCGCCGGTGCCGTACCAGAAGCAGTCCTCCCAGCGCCGCCCCTCGGCCTCGCACTGCCTAAGCCGCGCGTCCTGGAGGTCCTCCCGCGCGGCGCCACGCGTCGCCGCGCGGTCGCGCCGGTCGCGCGCCAGGGCCCGGAGCGCGCGCGTCGTCGCCGACGGCGGCGCCGGCGCCGCGAACGCCCAGGGGTCCGCGGCCGCGGCGGGATGGCTCGCCGCTGCGGCCGCGAGGCACAGCGATGCGGCGCTCCGGCGCGCGAGGGCGGCCGCGCTGCGGTGCTGCGGCCGCAGCGCGGTCATCGCGTCCAGCATTGCGAGGAGCAGAAGAGGAGCGCGCGGCGCGAGCATTTGTGCAGCGGATGGTGCACCGCTTAGGCACGCGTCGGCGGCGGCTTGATAGTGCACCGCTTAGGCTGGCGTCAGCGGCGGCTTGTGCGCCGTCTCACCATACACCCACATCGATTGCCACAGGGAAGACCAATGTTGGCCTTCAAGATGCCTCTCGTTTATGCCCCCGGTTCGAAGCCGTCTCAACGAGCAGCCCGGCGCTGGGGCCAGCGTGCGCGCGCTCGCGAAGCCGCGCTCGACTCGCAGCCTGGTGGCGCTGGGCCAGCGTGGGCGCGCGCTGTGCCATGGTGAAGCACATTTATAGTCCGCTCGAGTGCTACCTCGAGATCTACGCCGCGCGGCAGGTCGTGCAGCACAGCCGCAAGAACGCGAAGCACCGCGAGGACCAGATCCAGGCCGAGGCGGACCTCGTCCACTTCCAGAACCACCTCAAGGAGTGCACGGGCATCCCCGGCGAGGTCGACTCCGGTTTGAGCAAGAAGGAGATGCACGCGCCAGGGCAGGAAAAGAGTGCGAACTTCAAAGGCTCGGCCGTTTTCCACTCGTTTTGGCTGATTTTTGGACGAGCGATCATCTCTTGGAACGGTCTCGAAGCGTGGATGCTTTCCTTGGAACGCGCGCGCGCGGCACACTCACATTGAAGCGACATTGAATCTCTCTTTTCCTGCGCAGGCACGCGCTCGTCGCGTTCTTCGAGATGACGTGCGGCTACGGCTGGGCGCGGCGGTCCGGCTGGGTCGGGCGCGCGCCGACGCGGAAGATCAAGCCCGTGCCCTTCTTCGCCGTGGACCCGTCGAACTGGTACGGCGTCGGCATCAACCGGCCGCGCCAGCGCGTGGGCAAGCTCCTGCTCGGCGGCAACGGCCTCGAGGGCGTCGTGCCGTACAAGAGCATCTGCGCGATGGTGTCGCTCGACACGCTCCAGCTGCAGATGAACGAGCTGCGGGGGCCCGTGCCCGCGCAGCTCGGCGCCATGAGCGCGCTCACGGACCTGGACCTGAGCTGCAACCACCTCGAGGGCACCGTGCCCGAGGAGCTCGGCGACGCGATGGCGCTGACGCGGCTGGACCTGTCGTCGAACGCCCTCGACGGCGAGCTCCCGGACATGCTGGGGGACCTGGACCGGCTCCGCACCTTCAAGGTGGCGGCGAACGGCGGGCTCCGCGGGTCCGTGCCGGCGTCGTTCGCGGGGCTCACGGCGCTCACGGATCTCGACCTCGCGGAGAACGCGTTCTCGGGGCCCGTGCCGCCCTTCGCGGCGCTCCTGACGAACCTGACGTGCCTGGACCTGAGCCACAACGCCTTCGACGGGCCCCTGCCGCCCCTGCCGCCGTCGCTGACGACGCTGGACCTCGGCCACAACGCGGTGAGCGGCGGCGTCGCGCCGGAGTTCTGCCAAACGGCCGCGGCGACCCTCGAGACCTGCTTTTTGAACAACAACGCCCTCGAGGGCCCCGTGCCCGCCGAGATCGGCGACATGGTCGCCCTGCGGAGCCTGAACCTGAGCCACAACCGCCTCTCGGGGCTCGTGCCGGATTCCGTGACGCGGCTCACGAACGCGCGGAGCCTGGACCTCCAGGGCAACGCGCTCGAGGGCGTCACCATCCCCCAGGGCCTCGAGGACCTGCCGAACCTCCAGTACTACATGGGCGCCGAGGGCTTCGCGTCCCACTACCTCCAGCGGCCCAAGCGCTTCGACCGCTACCGCTTCGCGTTCGGCATGGAGTTCCAGAAGATCTACGCGGGGCCCACGCGCCTGCCGCCCGTCGCGCCCAAGAACGGCGGCGAACACGACGCCGGCGGCGACCGCGCGGCGCCGCCGACGCCGCCGCCGCGCGCGCGGGACCGCCTCCCGACGTACGTCCAGGCCACGGGCGGCCGGGGCGCGCCGCCGGCGATCCGGCGGAGCATGATCCAGGCGTCGCGCGCGCCCGCCGCGGACGGCTAAGGAAAAAAAGCCTACTCATCGAAACTCGACGACCTCGGCCGTGCCGTTGTTGTCGATGACCTCGACCTCCGTCAGGTTGCCCTGGTTCAACAGGCTCGAGTCGTCGTCGAGGTCCGTCTGGTTCTCGAGCTTCTGCACCGTGTGGTCGTCGTTGCTGATGTCCGACGCGAACTCGACGACCTCGGCCGTGCCGTTGTTGTCGATGACCTCGACCTCCGTCAGGTTGCCCTGGTTCAACAGGCTCGAGTCGTCGTCGAGGTCCGTCTGGTTCTCGAGCTTCTGCACCGTGTGGTCGTCGTTGCTGATGTCCGACGCGAACTCGACGACCTCGGCCGTGCCGTTGTTGTCGATGACCTCGACCTCCGTCAGGTTGCCCTGGTTCAACAGGCTCGAGTCGTCGTCGAGGTCCGTCTGGTTCTCGAGCTTCTGCACCGTGTGGTCGTCGTTGCTGATGTCCGACGCGAACTCGACGACCTCGGCCGTGCCGTTGTTGTCGATGACCTCGACCTCCGTCAGGTTGCCCTGGTTCAGGAGGCTCGAGTCGTCGTCGAGGTCCGTCTGGTTCTCGAGCTTCTGCACCGTGTGGTCGTCGTTGCTGATGTCCGACGCGAACTGGCCGCGCGCCGAATCGCGCGCCAGCGGCCCCGGCGCGACCTTCGCATCCTGCGTGACCATGGCGTCGTTGACGTCCACGGCGTGCATGGACGTGCGCGCGATGAGGAGCACGACGGCGAAGGCGCTCACGACGCCAAAGGCGCCGCGCTTGAAGCGCGGCGACCGCGCGAAGGGCCGCTCGGCATCGTCGGCGATGTCCGCGTAGCCGCTTCCCCACATCGTACTCTGAATCTGGCTGCCCGCTTGATACATTTGAAGTTTTCCCAGCTTCACGGCCTGCTTCACAAATCCTGCGCCGATCCATAACAGCTTACAGCGTCGGTATTGCTGGAGGTGGGCAGCCCGGGGGGCGCCCGGGAGTGGCACCATGTCGGGGTCCATCGCGATCCCGCCGGACACGATCATCGGGCAGAAGTACCGCATCAATCGGAAGATCGGGTCCGGGTCCTTCGGGGAGATCTACAGCGGGACCATGGTCTACCAGGACAGCAACCAACAGGCGCGGACCGCGGCGTCCGCACGCGGGGGGGGCGGGGCGGGGGGGCCGGGGCCGCCGCCGCGGGGCCGCCCGCCCCCGCGGGGGGGGGCGGCCGGGCGGGGCGGCCGCGGCGCCGGGGGGGGGGGGGGACCTTTCCCGG